TTATCTTTTGGTACAAAATTAAAATAAAATAGCGGCATATATGTATATATAAAGTGCATTATTCCATATTACGGAGTTATATCTTATCATGCATGCGGTTTATTCACCCCCCCCCCAGTAGCACAGCGGTATATCTGGGAACTTACAAGGCTAGAAACCCGGTTTCGATACATGTGGTGGGGAGAGCACAGGTAGCCCATTGTGTAGCTTTGTGCTTAACTTCAAACAAACGAAAACATAGGAAAACGTTTAACTTCACTGGCGCCATCTGTACGTGATTGTTTGCATCGTAAGCAATAACATTCGATACCCTGCTATTTCGTATAATGAAATTTACGGTATAATTGGCTAGTTTTCATCAGTTTGATAGATAACCATCAATATACACAAATATTATTTATGAACTGTGTTCTTAATAATACAAATAATTAAACAGTATGGATATTTGTAAGCCCACCTTCTAATTACAAGTAAAATAAAATATACATTAATAATAACGAAATTTACTAGTTTACAAGGTATGATAAATTTAATGCAATTTGGTTTCTGTAGTGTGAGTTGACAGACTAATCATTAATGCTTATATTACTGATAAATAATGAGTGTAATATTATGTGGAACATAAAACGAACTTTATAATGATTAGATTGTGTTGGATCATCAGTAACATATCTTCACTATTGTCGATAATTTTTGTTCTTAACTTCTATAGGTTTTCACAAAGTTTGGGCAGCTTAGAAGAGATTATACCGGAATTCACTATAAGACAGCAATGTATATTAATCTTTATAAAATTCAGTTTGATGACCAAATTATTCAAGAAGTTGAAATGTACAGAAATATTCTGATATTTTCAACAATATCTTTCAGCTTCAATAAGTATAACGAGAAAATGGAAATGTAGTTAGTACTTATAAAGAAGTAACCAATAGCGTTGTTGGTGTTTATCACATTAGATATGTGGCTGTAATGACACTGGCAGGAAGTTACTGGAATATTTACATGAGGAAATCACTTTCTTTATGTAATTTGCTCAAACTATGACAATTAACCAATCAATTTCTAAAATAATGCTAGGCTTTACACACACACACATACATACTCATGGGTGTATTTATTCAAATATACACACACATACATATTTTTATATATACAATGCTCTATGTATATGAACACACTCTAAGTATTTGACATAGCCAATCCAGCATGTTCTGCAAGCAAACTTGGTAAATATAAATTCAGAGCCATACCAGATAAGCAGATTAGTAGTGCTGAAGTGTGTGCATATTGTCAGGTCATAAAGAATTATGTGAATTTGAGAAAAGTGAAATTGTAGTTGCTGGAAGCACAGAAACTTACAATTTTATTAGGACTCCACACACACATTTGTAGAACACTCAATTTTAATATAATTGGGCAAAACAAACTGATCATATGGAATGTCTGGTAGTTGCTATAAATGCAGAGGTGTACTCAAATCATGGTTAGTCTGTAAGACAATATTAAGAGTGAGGTTCTCTCTAAACTTCAAAATGGTATGACAGTACCTCTCTAGCATTAGCAATATTATCAAATAGTGTATCTCTGACTAGCTGTTCAAAGGCATTTGTCATTAGCATGTATCAATAATTGCAGATGAAACTAGGAAACACTTTGGCCAATGACCATTGGTGACCAAATTAAAGAGAAGATTAATGGACAGATGTAGAAAGTGCAACAGATATTAAACTATATCCCAGTTAAAGTTAGTGTAATAGTACGAAGAATATCCTCTTGGCAGAGTTTGGTTCCTTTGATTCCATTAGAAGAGTGGATATTACCTAGAGTATACCTTGACATTTTGCCAATCATGTCCACCTCAAAATGTTGTGACTCCAATTTGCTGTACACAAGTTCTTCCAAGACAAAATGCAGTAACCCACAACACTCATATTGTTCAATATTGGTTCTAAAAGCAGGGCAGTAATTTCAGTCATATCCTTGTCAGCACAATCACTGAATCTCAGTTTAATTGAACATCTTTGGGATGAACTTCAATGTTGCATTTGCCACCATAATTGCCCTAGTGATATCTGTGAACCAAATGCAAATAATACTTCTTGAATAAAGGAACTGCAACTGAGCAAGACACATTCTAATATCCAGGCTATTATCATGGTAAAATGTGGCCACAACTGTCTATGAGGCTATCTGATGATATTAGGAACTTTATAGTACAGATTCTTAAAAAACAAGTAAGGTCAGCTGAAAGGTCTATAAGAATATCATAAATGTTCATGTGTTAGGATTTTTTTTAAATCCTAGACACTGTCTACAACAATTTCACAGTGACTCACAGAATAGCATCAGTTATTCAGGCCAAAAGCAGAACTATGCAGTGTAGGAACAGTGACCATTAGGACACCATTCATCATGCCTACATGTCTGAATACATTTAGAAGAACAGTATTTGTGTATGTATGTGTATTCATCTGTGTACTTGGTTAGAATATAAAATCAGTTGTCTGAAAAATATTTATCACTTAAAAGTGTCGGTTTAGCTTCAAACTCAGATAAAATATAATTAATTGTTATGGTTTATTGAAGGTATATTTCTGTTTAAGTAACTAACCCTTAACAAAAAATCTTAAAACTGATAGCTTTATTGCAGTGTAAAATATTCTTAAAATAAAACACTGATTTTCTAAAAGTACCAGAGATAGTGAAAATTGTTATTATTAAATAAAATATGGCATGGGTGTCCGCAGAAACTTTTTGGTGGGGAGGGGGCAAAGTAGTGTGAAATTGTGAATTGGATAAAAAATTGAATGAATGCTGAATGAATAAGAAAATAATTATGTTTCTCATTTTCCAGGGTGAGCAAGTGCCCCCTATTGCTCCCCTCCACCTGCAGACGCCCATGAAATAGAGTTTAATTTGACTACACCAAGTTTCAAATTTGACCCTGAATACTCATCTTTTTTTTTTAAAATAGCTTCAGTTGCATTCAGAATTGAGTGTAGTAGTTGAACTTGATATATGTAAAGATATACTTTCATGTCATAACTGATTTTAATGAAAACACTTTTTAGTAAAACAAAATGCTCTTTGCAAATTGAATTTCATTGTCTGCTGAAAACTGTGAGCAATAAAATAGAAATAAAATGTAAATAGAAATGTAAAAGAACAAATATGTATCAGTGATATGAAGTATATACAAAATTGTCTCATAAGATTTCCTGTTATATTCTAGTGATTCAACTATGACAGCTATGGGTTGGCAACAGACACCCCCAACTGGTCATGGTCCACCTCCTCCTCATGGTGGCCATGCTGCCCAACAGCAGGTGTCTGTAGTCACGACAGTTTGGGGGATGTCGCCTAACACACAGAGTGGTTCTGTAGGTCACAACTCATACAATGGCACAAACACATCAGTAACTCAAGGTCCCTACTCACAAAGTCAACATGGATATCCTGGAGGAATGCCTCCCAAACCCTATCCTCCACAGGGCATGCCTTCTAGACAAACAACACCAGCTTATAATGGGTGAGTTTACGATATACCAACAAATATAGATAACATATATGCCTATATAGGACAAAAAGACTGAATTCATGAAATTAAATTCCAATATGTGTGATAGGTGTAAATGCAATATTATCAACATAACTGTTACTTAAACATGCTGAAGTGTATGATATGAGAATTGTTAAAATTCCTTTGACTACACAACATTCAATTTAATATGTTTTTTTTACATAAATAGTATGAATTAAAATCTTCATTTAACAACAATATATAAATATATGTTAGATAGACAAAAGGTTTTAAAAGACAGAAAAGTGAAATAATGAACTTTTTTGAAAATTATGAAGATGTAGGGAAAGTGTTTTGGGCAAATCACTAGTAGTGAGAAATATAAGTCAAGTTCATCTGATGTGTTTTTAAATGTTGTTGGCAACTGAAGCTTCAAATTGGTATTTTTTATATCTATCAAAATTTCTGTTGAATTGTACATTTTTTTGCACAACTAATGTGTGTGTGGGTGTGTATTTACAAATAATTTACACTAAATATTGAATAGCTTTCTCAGTCTTTGACTGCTTTTTGCTAGTTTGTATACTTTATCATAATAAACAGTAAATATAGACTGAGTTATAAAGTCTATGAAATCATGGTTCTTTTAACTATTTGTGATTGAACTTCAATTGAATTAAATAAAAGTTTGTTAATATCATACATAAATATCATTATTTCCTTTCTTTGTGATAATTAAAAAACAAAGTTTATTTTGTTTCTTCAGTTATGGACCTCCCCCGACATCTATGGGTACAAGAGTTGGACCAAACATGGCAACTGGTGGACCAGATGCTAATGGAGAGTACCAAGGGTCCTCAACAGCTCTAAGTGCTGCCACACTAGTAGCAAGAGCAGCAGCTGCTGCCACAGCAACAGCTACTGCCACAGCTAGTGTAGTGGCATTTCAGGATCAACAACAACAGGAGACACAGATGGGTAGTCAATACCATAACCATGTAAGAGTTTCATAACATTTGTGTGATTATGGTCACTTGATTTACTGACAAAGCATCTCAAGAGTAGCAGGAATTTATAAACTGGTATATTTAATGAAGGCCCAGCATGGGGGCATTATAATGTGATGGTCAATCCCACTCTTCGTTGGTAAAAGAGTAACCCAAGAGTTGGTGGTGGGTGGTGATGACTAGCTGCCTTCTCTCTAGTCTTTCACAGCTAAATTAGGGACAGCTAATGCAGATAGCCCCCATGTAGCTTTGTGCAAAATACAAAACAAAACAAACCATACTTAATGAAACAAAGTTTTTTTGTGGTTATTTCAAACCCTCTTTATTTCATATTGTATGTGGCCTTTTTGTAGATTAAATAATGAGAATAAGAACAAAATATATATAGGTAAAAAAAGCAGTCCTGCTTACCTTAAATATTACAACTGCTTGATTTCAGAAAATTAATCTGTGTCAGTGCCTTTTTTTTCTGCATATTTATATACCTTGTTACATTTTTCCTTCTTTTTGTACACTGTATAAAAGAGAAAAAAATGTGCCATTTTGATATCTAGGTACACTGAATTCCAACAGATAGTTATAAGCATTTACAAATATATAGGATTCAGAAATGTCTTGCAGAGAATAATTTTTAAAATGATCAGCAAAGGAAAAGCAAGAAAACTGTAGGCATTAAACAAACAAAATCTTTAATATTTTCGTTTTGAGTTTACTTATTGATTAAGTATTATTTTATTACAAGTTGCAGCTTTTACAGTAAGGAAGATTTGTTTTTATAACAGGTATGATATTTTGACAACTGGTGTGATCATTCTCAAGTAAAAGTTGTAACTTGTAATAAAATAAACTAAATCTTTATTTACAAATAAGGTGTGAATTTGAAATCAGCAGAGGTATTTTGCTTGTAATGGCTAACTTCTGTATTTATGAAAGTTCAATTGACTGTTGGGACAGGAGAGCAGGTTGAAAGCAAAACTTCCTCATAAGATGGAGACAAGATCAAGAATAATTTGTTCACACAGGAAAGAGATGAGTTTAAGAATAATGATGATACTACATTGATAGGTCAGACTAAGGTCACAATGCAGTATCCAACAGTTGTTAAATTATGTATATGAATGATAATTTTCATTATACATATTTGAGGGAAATAAACCACCAACTTCTACAAATCTGTACCACCCCTAAAAATGAGTATGACCTCACTCAAGAAAGGAATGACACTAAACAGAGCCAGGTAAGTATAAGCCTTATGGAACAATTGTTATGGTATATAAACTTTGTTGAAGGTAGAGGATTAGTGCAAGTATATGGCCTTCCTACATCCAGCTTACAAAGATGTTGAAATTACATACAGAACACATGCGTGAAAATTCAGAAAAATTTACTTCAGTATACCTGAATAAAGATGTATTCTTTACACAATATAAAAGGGTGAAATTTGATAATATTTCAATCATCACACTGATATAAGACAATACTGCTGTTTATTATAACAAGTTTGGTCTGTTTTTATAAGACAGTTTTTCAAAATGCAAAGATTTCTTCTGAACTTGTATTATTTTAAATCTTTGCCTTATTTACCTGATATATACATTTAGTGCTAACATTTCAATGAATTTGTGCTTGATATTTTTTTTAACATGACTAAATAAATCAGTGCAATTTTGGTTCAATTTTTTATTAAAGGAATTTATGTGAATTATTTATTTTTACTCACAGATGCAAAGCATGCCAAGCCAACAGTACCAGCAAGCATATGGTCCACCAAGCTCACAGCGAATGGCTTCAGGACCACCTGTGGGAAATCTCATGAATAACCACATGGGCAATAATGTGGGAGGACCAATGCCATCAATGACAGGTTCTATATCTAGCTCCATGATCCCCATAAATGCTCCTGTTATGAGTACAGCTAATAATATGAATTCCCAGATGGCTATTAATGGACCAGTTGGGGTGAATAAGTCTGGAATGCAAAGTGTACAACCTATGGGAGGACCTGGACAGACCATTTACCCTATGGCTCCTTCTACTATGGGACCTCGGAGTCGATCGGCTCCATATCCCAATCCATCTCAGTATATGATTCAAAAACGCCAAGCGCAGTACAACAATTCTATGACTCATCAGTATGGTCCAGGTATGCAGCAGTATGGACCTGGCTCTCAACAGTCGTACAACTCAACACAAGTAAGCATATTAGTTGGATGGATATCAGCTGCATTACTAAAAAACTATGATAAAATCTTGTTTAATAAAAATTTAATATAATCTTTGACCAGGTAATTAAAAGTAAACAAAAAACAATTATTTATCTACCTTTCTTACTGATCTTGCTTTGTCTTGAGTGATTAATTTCAGAATAGTATTTTAAATATGTTTTGGATTTCTTTGTGATGAAAACAATATAAATATGTATGTAATTAACTAAGACATAAAATATCATTTCACCAATTATTTTTCCCTATTTCCTGGTGGTCAGGGAGTACAATATCTAAAACAGCCTCCCCAGTTTCCACCATCTATACAACAGCAGCCCCTTCCTTCAAGTGGTTATCCCCAACAAATGCGACCATCTATGAGACAACAAGCACCTCCATACCCATCTCAACAAGAACAGTACTACCCACAGAGCCACATGAATGGGATTCCTCAGCAGACACCATATGAACAACAGTATAATGGTAATCAGTACATGGGACCTCAAAACTTTCAGGTAAAAAACTAGGGAAAAGAACAAATTTAAAGTGATCAACATGGTCTTCAACTAAGTTTTAGATTTTATTTTAATATTCATAAGGTAAAAAAAAGGTAGTATTTTGTTGAATAATTTCAGGATTATTTGTGTCATTGTGTGGTAGAAGTTATATTCTACAGAGTAGAAGGTAATGGAAAAATGAACCAAAAAATTACAAATGTTCTGTTAGTAGTAAATTCCAGTTTTATAAAACTGTTTATGACTACCTAGCATTTTAAATTTTTTATAATATACAGTTGTAGGAAAATGTTGACACAGTATGTAAATAAACTGTGTAAGCTTATAATTATGATTATCTTTATGTGACATACAGTTTTTTATTTTTGTATTTGATCATTTCAGAGGAACATGAATTATCAACATTCACCAATCCCAGGAAATCCTACACCACCATTAACACCAGCTTCTAGTAGCATGCCTCCCTATATTTCACCTAATCCATGTGACATAAAACCATCGTATCCAGATATTAAACCACAAATACCTCCAACAAGTAAGTTAAATAAAAATTATTTTTCTACATGAGTAGAAATATTAAAAAGAAAAATGAGTGAGTAGTATGGAAATGTAGTTCAGTATTTTGTATTCAAAACTAAGTTTTTCTTATACCTGAAGGGCTGTAGTTGTGTACACATTTTATATCAATTTTATAGCTATGTACTATTAATAGGTGTATATACCTCTAGGAATTTATCATTATGGCTTGTTTATTTCTACAGATTTCTAGGTCACCTTGATAAAGTCATGTGATCGTTCTTTTGATAAATAAGTTTATACATCATCGTAATGTCATTATTGTGTTCTTTTTTTATTTATGTTTTTTCACTGCTGTGCTTATAGGTAAACATCTTTCCCAGTGTCAAGTTTATTTTTAGACATATAAAAAAAAAAATACACATGTTGTAATATTCTATTACTTAACTGAAACTTAAAACTGTTAAACTTTGAAAATTTTGAAGGAGAGTACAAAATCCCAATCTTACATGGCAGTGGTAAAGAGGGAGACATAGATGGGCCCATGGCAGTGAAAGAGTTAAATTCATTGTTACCAAATGGTTTTAAAATTACCATTTTTATTCGTAACTGAAATTCAATATTTAGAACAATTTTATCCTTTACACAACTACTATTTAATTATTTCATATTTTACCTTAGAGTATAACATTGCTGTTTATAATGTACTGCAGAAGACGATGAACTGAGACTGACATTCCCTGTTAGAGATGGGATTATTCTGCCACCCTTCAGGCTAGAACATAACCTTGCTGTTAGTAACCACTTCTTCCAATTGAAGCCATCAGTCTACCAAACTCTGATGTGGAGGTCTGACCTGGAGCTACAACTGAAGTGCTTTCATCATGAAGATCGACAGATGAATACAAACTGGCCAGCATCAGTTCAGGTGTCGGTGAACGCGACTCCAGTACTCATTGACAGAGGAGATAACAAGACATCCCACAAGCCCTTGTACTTGAAAGATGTGTGCCAGCCAGGTCGCAATACAATACAAATTACTGTCACAGCCTGTTGTTGTGTGAGTATTAGGTTAACCTTTATTATGGTTGTAAAGTTACAAACCTCTTTGTTAGAAAGACATGTTGCCAACAAGGTTGCAGCACAATAAATGTTAGTGTTTCAGATTATTGTTATGTAAGTAGATGGATACCTTTGATACTGAAAAACAATTATGTTTTAAGGTAGAACTTAATTTATTGCAGTAAAATGATTGTCGTTCACATAGTTATTAAATAAAGTAGTTCTAATTGTTCATCTAGTCTTTTCACTAAGTCTACAGATTTATGTAGAAATCTATTTTATAGATGATGTATAGCTTTGTTTATAATTCCATTAATTAGAAATACTTTTTCTGTTTAATTAAAGTAAAATATATAAATCACTTAAATATTAAAATACAGAAAGAAATATATTTTTTTAAGGCTTGTGTTTTTTTTTAGCTAGTGTTGTAATATTGTATGCTATTTCAAATTTGAGTTGAGTATAAGGAGACAATTTTAGGGATAGGTACCCCTCATGTGGAGACCAGCTGTCTTGCAGAAGGTAGAAGAGAGTTCCTTTACTAATGTTACTAGCAGCTCTCCTGCTGTATAGCATTCTATTTATTCCACAACTTTTGCTTTTCCTAGCCACACCATATGATACTTTGCTTTCCAGTTTTTTTAATTTCAATTGAATGTTAATGGAGGTCTTCCATGATCAGGAGTGTCAAGAGCCAGCACAGGCCCTGGAGGAAACATCCTCACCAGGCCCCCTTTCTCTCTCTTTTATAACATTTTAAGAACTTATTAAAAAGAAGATTCTATATTAGGAAAGCAACAAGCTCATAAACAAGACAAAATCATAGCAGCAGCCATTTTTAGTTCACAGTATAAGCATAAAAACTTTAATAAACTAACAACAAATATCTATTTAATCTATAAAGTAACAAATATATATTAATTATTACTCAAATTATTATTTCAATCATTCTTAATGGTCAAGCATCTATATGCAAAGAAAAGCAAAAAACTATGCCTTTTATGATTAAATGAAGGGCTTTGCAGGCTTTATGGCATAACCAGTTTCAACCTGAGCCCCTGTCCATGATTACCAATTTCACCTTCCTAGTGCAGAAGAGGTTGATGTCCTGTCAGTAGGATTTAATAAAGAGGCTTAATTTTCTTTTACAAGCTTTTATGCAGGCATATACATCAAGATGCAGTTACTTTGCTTTCAGCCATCCAAAGTCCATTACTAATAACTTTTCTCTAATTATCCTACTACTGGCCAGCAGTATTTGTCAAAACAAATGTATTTTTGCTAATTGCTTATCTCTAAAATATAAGAATTTTCTGACATTACAGTTTAAAAAGTGGTATCTATATGCTCACAGTGAGTTGAATATGTTCACATATTGAACAATCATTCTGTTGTAAAGTTGCTAATATGTCTTCTTTTTTTCTGCATAGTCCCACCTATTTTTATTACATCTCGTCCATCGACCAACTGTGCGCTCAGTACTTCAGGGACTCCTACGCAACAGGCTTCTTCCAGCTGAACATTGTATTTCTAAAATTAAGCGAAACTTTAACACTGTAGCAGCAACAAATAGTGTAATGAATGGTGAAGATAGTGTAGAACAGACAGCTGTCAAAGTCTCACTCAAATGTCCAATTACCTTTAAAAGAGTAACTTTGCCTGCAAGAGGACAAGACTGTAAGCACATACAGGTAAGAGTAAAACTGTAACAAGTTAGTTTTGCTAACTTTTCCTTAGATTTGATCACTTAAGGTAAATATTACTTTGTAATAACATGTGTGTGAATAGAAAGCATTGAATAATACTAGATTTAGCAAGTGATAAATCATCTGGTAATATGCACTTAAAATCATTAAATAGTAATGAATGGAATAAGCAAAATATTAACTACAAAAATAATTAAAATTCATAAGTCATATGCTGATAAACAAAACATTGTCTTGAGTAACTACTGATAAATCAAACCTGAAGAATCACAATCCCATCTGTTTATACGCGAAAATATTTTTGTTTGTTAGGTTTTCTTACTTTTGATTGAATTTCTATGCTTTTATTTTCTGAATCATAGAATGCAAGAATATTTAAGTTATATTAAATCACAATAAAATGCTCAGCAGTAAATCTGAGGGCTTCTAATACTAAAAAACTGGGTTTTGATACCTGTGGTGGGTGAGCACTGATATTCCATTGTGTTGCTTTGTGCTTAACAATAAACAAACACAATAAAATTGTATTATATGTGCATATAAACTTATGAGCTTTTTTTTAAATCATATAAATAGCCATATTAAAATTCAAAACTGCCAGAATTGTAATTTTTTGTGCTAAGTTTTGAGAACTTTCCATTTAATACAAATTTAAGTTGTGAAACTTATATAATTGTATTTTTTATTTTGGTATAAACACATAAATATAATGTGTTAGCTGTAGAATGAATAACACTTAAGTGTGGTATTTTGATATTTTTATTTTCGCAGTGTTTTATAGTTTATTTTTCTACAATGTACTCATTTTTTTACAGTGTTTTGACCTTGAATCATACCTCCAGCTGAACTGTGAAAGAGGAGTCTGGAGATGTCCAGTATGCAAGTAAGTTTATAAAAGGAATTGTTTCAATCACAAAAAGTCCAGTAATTTTTTTTATTGTATTGCATCAACTTTTGCAGTCATAGTTTATTGCTAAGTATCTTGGACTTGGTAAAGGAATTTTTACATGTGAAGATTTTTAAACATAATAGAATATTATAAGAAAAGCAATTTTTGTATACTAATGCTGTTTTGTATAATTAACATATAATCTGTTAATGAGTTATACAAAGTATAAACCTCAAACTTTTGTTTTGGTATTTCTTAACACAAAAGTTTCCTATCTTAATTTGAAACAGACTTCTTCAGAACTTTTATTCTTTGTTTGTTTAGTAAAACAGCATACCTGGAAGGCCTGGAAGTTGATCAGTATATATGGGCCATCTTAACAAATCTTAACAATTCTGAGGTAGATGAGGTAACAATGGAAGCCTCTGCTAATTGGAAGCCCATTTCTTTAAAGCTAGAGCATGATCAAGGTACATTATATGACCTTCTTTCAGAAATGATATATAAACTTTTAAGGCTTGAACTAGATGGCAAACAAAGCTAGGATGTTTTACATGTAAAATTAAAATTTTGCTTTCTTGTTTTGAAATATTCAAGTATTTATACTCAATGTATGTATGTATATATATATATATATATATATATTTAGTAAAACTGAAGTGTTTTATTGAATAATTTTTAGTACTTCTTCCATACTTTATGTTACTCTTTAGGTTAGTAATTTTTTTTTTAATTATAAAAGAAAATTCACTAAAAAACACAGAAGTTTATAAGGTGCTTAAAGAGTTTATATCTTGCATTTTATTTCTATGTATATATATTTTTCTGATGCATGTGTGATTTTCTACAATCTCTGTAAAAGGAAACAGATATTAAAAGTACCTAGGTTACTAAGTGAATTTTCTTTTGCACACAATTGAAAAAGTTTTCACTCTTTGGTTTGTTAAAGATACTGCCAAAAATAAACTTGCAATATGCTTCAAGCTTTCTGGTCACTAGTGAATTATCATTAATGATATTTGAGGTGCTACTGGAATTGTATTATTTCAGAAGAAAATTCTTAACACGTAACATTGAGAATGACCTTATTTAAAGACCCATTTTGAAATATTCAATTAAAACTAAAATAAAATTGTAATGTTGGATTTTTTCAGTAATTTTGTTTTTAAGAAATAAGGCTTTGAATGGTCCAATAGTTGCACTATAGAAACTTTGAATAATACATTGTTGTGGTTAAGAATAATTTATAATTTAATAAAGTGAAGTACTGAATTTCAGACACATCCATTCTGTTCTACCCTTTTGTTTACTTTACATTTTTACACTGTTTGATGCTACTGACTCAGTAAGTCATTTGGTATATTTCTTATTTACAGTAACTTTAACTATATGAAAAGAAAATAATAAACCTCTCTTTTTTTTTTATGATTAGTAGATCAATGTGCAGCTCAGAAGAAATTCAAAGCTATGTCTCCTGGTAGTATGACAATGCCAACAACAAGTACATGGGAAATGGGACAAGCATTGTCTCCATATTCTGCCATGCCTCCTCCAGATATGCAGTGTAAGCTCTAATTTCTATAACTTTAAATTGATGGCTATACTAGTGGAAAATGGGATTTTTTAAACATATAAATGACATAATTTAAAAATAGGCAATTTTTACTTCACTCTTGCATTTCTTTCTACTCCAACAGACCTTATTGATTTAATTATTTTGAATTAAATCTTTAGTAACAACACAATACAATTATCATCTTAAATAGTTTCATCTGAAATTATCTGTTAAAAGGAGATCCTTGAGAGTTGTTGACATTTGTCAATATCATTTCAAATAACACATTTTCCCTACAAATGAATAAATGCAATTTCCCTTTTCTTCTCTCTCTTTATTTGTAAACATTTCAGTTGAAAGTATCTTGAATTGACCTCAACAACTATAAAAAATACATTTAGAGATCAGTTTTTCCAAGTCAGTAGCCTTTTCTAGAAAAAAAGAACAAATATTGAAGGTTTATGTAACAACAATACTACTGATAGGCCTTTCTAGGTTTTTCATGCAATTAGGTTTAAAAGTGATTGAATTGAAGCCCAGACATTGTTTTTGTACAACACCAGAAGCATATTTGCTTTACTTTCATACTACTGATAGATATTTGTAGGTTCTTGTTACAGTTATTCGTAAAAGTCAGTGAATTAAAGCCTTTCTTTTTGCATGTACTTAGAACACTTGGTTGATAACTGTGCTTATTTGTTCCATCATACTTATTTATTCCGCCAGTACTAAAAGCTAATTGAAATAATAGCTAAAATCAGCATTGACAATTTAAAACATTAGCTTTTGAATTTTATTATAGTAAATTACAGATTTTTAGGTGTTTATATTTCCTAACAAAATGTTTGTGTGTGAACATACAACATTGCTTATAACTTGACACATTTGATAATTTCTGCTAAAATTTATTAAACAGAATAGTTGCTACACTGTCAGCAAATGTAAAGAGAATAACAGTGTTAATAGTTGCCAGTTTATTTAGCTTTTACCCCCTTCATGCACAATTCAAAGTTGAAAATATTGCTATTAAAAAAAACTAAAACTACATGTATAAAATTAACTTAAAACAGTTATTGCACTTTCACTGACTGAAAATAATGATGACAATATTGTGTGATGACAACTATTTTTACAGCTGATTACAATAGAAACATGGTATTCCTATATTCTCCCTTCTCTCTTCTCCTTCAGCTATAGCCAATGGACCAGTTCCAAATGGCCCCAATTTTCCAAATAGCATGAATTATAGAGGAATGAATGGAAGTTATGACTTTTCTTCAGATTTTGGAAATCCACTTTCTCACCTTAACAGTAGTGTTGCATCTTTAGACCCTCTTGCTGCAATGGAAAAAACCCTGAACCAGGTAAAGTGTTACACTTTTAGAACCATTGGTGATCATTTTAACATTTCAGGTAATGTATTTCTCTTAATGGTTTCAAGTACTCCTTTTCCAAATAATCACTAAAAACTGACAATATATTTACTGTTATTAGTGTGTCAGATTATTGTTGATATTTATATGCTGTTTTTGTTTATCAAAATACACCTCTATCACTATCCAGTTCAGTAGTTTACTGTTGTTACTAGTATCTTATTGTTTCGATTATGTTGTTTTTCTTGCTGTTAAGTATAACTTCAAAAATCACTTAACCAGGTGTTGTATTGACCTTTTACTACCATGGTTTATAACAAACAGCACAAGTGCACTTTGTTTAAAAGAATAATGCTACTAACCCTTTAACTAGGAGTTAAGAAATGTTATTGACTATAAAAAAATGATAATAAGTCCAAATAAATGATTATCTTTCTCTGATGAACTAAAAGTTTTTTAGAACTGGTTACTTAAAGTAGGATACATTGTGATGGTTAGGATCTGTAGTTGTTGACAATGGTGTGTTACCTTACCTGAAAGAGTATAATCCAGTTAGTCAGGAGGATTTGGGTGGGAGACGATTGATTTTTGATCTTAATTGTTACCACATGTTTTTGTTGTGACTGAGAAACTTAGCCAAATGTTGTATTTATGTGATTTTGATGAATTATGTACATGAATGATGTAGTATAATGATAGTTACATCAAGTTTAACTCCGTTAAATTTTATAACAGTGCAGCTATAAATAAATGTTGCATAACCACTATTAATGTTTATGTCATTAGGGGATAGAGTGTGTTTGTAGAATTTATGGATGTGGTTGTTTGAAGCAGTAGTTACAATTAAATGATAAATCATATTTTAAATCAAAGCAATTTATTTTACTTATAGCAAATGTGTCCTCCTAGTATGCATGATCAAAGTAACCAACAGATGCTTCAGCCACCCACTTCTGCTTCTGTTCTTGGAACCAGCCAAGCTCAGCAGTCATCCAATCACCAACAGAATGCACCACCCACCCCCTCATCTACACAGAGCCAAGGCATGATGCAGCATGGTCCCCACACTCCACATACACCTCATACTCCTCACACTCCTGGTAATGGAGGGCCTCCAAGCATTCCTCCACCATCATCTGTTGGTCCTCACGGGAACAGTACTGAAGGGAATAGCAACAGCAGCAATTCCAATCCAGCCAATAGTCAGCCTTCATCAGTGACCAATGATAATCCACTTTCTCATGCCACCGATCTAAGTGACCTCAACTTTGACCCTGCTGCTGTCATAGATGGTGAAGGTCAAGGTCAGGAAGGACTTAATGTAAGTACCAACAAGTGTAGGATTTTAACAAAATAGCATATGCATACTTAATTAAGGTTTTTCTACATTTGTTGTGTGACTTTGAATACTTGTTTCTGTTATTATCATACTGTCAAATAAATTCCTTCATGTATATTGTAGATTGTTTTCCAAACATTTTGTCAGAAACTCTTAATCTGGAATGGAGAAAAAAAAAGAGAGAACAACCAATTTTAACAATTCATATGTGATTTTATTTCAATTATATAGGTATAACACAATAAGACTATTTCAGTACAATGGTTCAAAGCCTGTTTTTTTCACCCAGTATTACCTCTATTGTCTGCTTGGAAGATAAAATAAGTAAAATTACTAGTATGAGATTTTTATGAGATTGTTTCATAAATGATTAATTTGTTAAACACTTATAAAGAGGTCATTTTAAGTCCATGGTGGTATGAAAAGTTTTGTGTGTCTGTTCAAATAAATGTTTAAAGGTGGGATGGTTTTGGAACACACATTGATAATTATTTTGTTTTTACTTTTTCTGTTGTTTTTTAATAACTAAAAGAAAAAAAATACAAAGCATTTACTCATGATAACAAAATTTATATTAAATATTTATATTCTCAGTCATCTCATTATGTTCTATATATAAATAATTTAAGGACAACAAAGGTCCTGTTGGTCCACCTAGGCCATTCCATCCGTTAAACTAAGCCTTAAAATAAAAAAATTAAACACTGAAAGCCAGTCCTTATCGTTCAAATATTTATAAAGCTTTTTATTAAACTCCGTAAATTAACTGCATTCACCACACCTGAAAGCAACCCATTCCAAAGGCCAACTACCCTGTTAAGAAATAAAGTTGATTAATTGAAAATGACTACCCTGCCAAAATTTATATTTATGTCTCCTAGTTATGTCATTCTCAAAATGATGTATGAAAAAAGGTGATGCATCAGCACTATCAATTCCCTTTTCAGTCTTAAACACCTCAATCAGATCTCCTCTAATTTTTCAAGAAAAAAGCAGTTTCAGAGATTTTAACCTGTTCTCATATGACAACTTTTCCATCTCCTGTATCATCCTAGTAACCATCCTCTGAACCCTTTCCAACGATTTAATGTACTTCCTAAGGTAAGAAGCCCAAGACTGAACACAGTGCTCCAAATGTGGCCTACGAATGACTTATACAATGAAATTATAACATATATATATATATATATATATATGTGTTTGTACTTAGTATTTCTGTAGATACACCCTAAAATTATATTTGCCTTGCCACTAGCAACAGCATACTGTTTGCATGGCTTAAAAGATTGATCAACTAGAACATCAAGATCCTTTACTGCTTTAACACTATTCTTATTCCTATCAAAATTATATGCATAATTCAAATTTTAATATCCGACATGCATAACCTTGCATTTATTACAAATAAAAACTATACTATTTATTTGCCCAACTCATCAAATAATCCAAATCCTTTTGTAAAACATCCTCCTCACAGCCAGCAACATCCAAACCTTTAATATCATCAGCAAATTTAAATAATTTATTGGCCATTCCTCCTATATCATTGATATAAATCAAAAATGGCAATTGTAATAATACCTAGCTCTGAGGTACACCACTTGTGACATTAATCTAGTTTCACCAAACCTACTTATAACAACTTTCTGCTTTCTTCCATACAGCCAGTTTTCTATCCAATGAGCCAACCTATACCTCACACATACAGAGGTAATTTTTTAAAAATCCTTTTATATGGCACCTTGTAAATTGCTTTCTGAAACTTTAAATACACTAAATTCATACCTATATCCTCATCTACATAAGCAAAAGCCTCTTTAAAGAATGTCAAAAGATTGGTAAGGTACAATTCCCCTTTAATGAAACCATGCTGACTATGCAACAAAATTTTAAACTTTGTTAAATGAGTTTGTAAAGCATCTTTCATCAGACTTTCAAAAACTTTTCCAACCACTGATTTAAGACTAATAGGACTACAATTACTGGGAACAATTTTATCACCTACCTTAAAAAAAAAAAGAATAGTATTAGCCAACTTCTAATCATCTAGAATTTGTCCACTAGTCAAGGACTTGCATACAGTAGCAGGTGGCTCACATACCTAATCTTTAACCCCTTCAAAACCCTTGGGAAAATATTATCTGTACCAGGTGCTTTATCTTTCTTTAATCTTCTCAGTTTTTTCTTAACAAGCTCAGAATTAATATGATCATCTTGTTCAATCTTGTTTCAAACTAGCAACTGTTGAGGATAAAGAATATTGCTTAAATTTTCGTAAGTAAAAATTGAAGAAAAAGTAGAATTTGCAACCCAGCCATCTCATAATTATCAGATATGAACCTTCCTGTATCATCCCTCAAAGGCCGTATTCTCATCCTAACATTTTGCTTACTCTTAATGTATTTAGAGAAATCCTTATTATTAGAATTTATATTTTCAGTCAACCTTGTTTCATATTGTTTTTAGATTTACTATTTCCCATTTTATCAACTCTCTTGATCTTCCATAATTCTGTAAATCTCCAATCATAGCAGCCAATTTAAATTTTTTAAATCTACAATGCTTTTCCTTTAATTTTATCCTTTATACCTTTTTCAAGTCAACCTGGTTTTACTTTCAGCTACCCTTTTTAGCTGCAGCTCATAGAATGGCTCTGAGTTTTTCAAATACAAACTTTTAGCTCATTGCTCCATCATCTCTTGACCAATTTGAGATCTAATTACAGTTTTGGACTCAGGAGGTCAAACCCTTTCAATTGATGTATCTGACCAAGTCTTCTAATGCCTCATAAGTTAATTTAATCTAATTCTGCCTAAAAGAATTTCAGTTTGAGGGTAGGCTGGAAGAAATCCTCAGGAGTAATAAAATTGAATTGGTTATATGCGTGGCCCAAACTTGGTATTGCTGGTGCACAAAAATATAGCTAAGAAGAAAAAAAAGGTCTCATACATTAATTTACTCTAATCCTACCTAAAAGAATTTCAAGTGCCATGACTATTGAGGATTCCCTCTTGTTTTTTCTGTAAGAAACATACCTACCTTGAAAAGTTAAAATTGTTCCACATTTGATCAACATCTCCAGTTAATTCATATGCTTAGTTCACAACAGACAATTCATGTCTTCTCCCTTTAAAATTTGCTTTTTAAAAATTTGGAACCAAAATCTTGTTATTCCTTATCTTCATATCCAGTAAAACATCAAACTTAATTGAACAATGATGACTTTCACCCAGATGTTCCCCAATCTCCGCTCAATCAACCAAGTTAACAATAAAACCTAAAATAGCATTGTTCTTTGTAGGTTCCCTGACCAACTGGTGAGAAAAATCATGCTGATCTGTTCTAGAAACCTGTCTCCTCCATGAGTTGACTTTAACATTTCTAAATCTATATGCCTGAAATTAAAATCCTACATAATTGTGACCTTGCTAACAGCTGAATTTTTTTTACCTCACTGTATAGTTTCTTGATAATTTCATCAATTCTGTCTGGTGGTCTCTGACAGATTCCAAAGAAAAGCCTTATCCCCTTATGACTACTAACAGAAACTCCAATATAATCAGTCTCATTACTGTTAACTTTGATAATCTCGACTTGAGCAGGATATAACTCAATTTTACATATGTGTTCACTCATCCCCTCTCTTTTTTAGTACTCTGTCTCTATTAAATAATTTATAACCCTGTATTTCACAAAAGTTTCTGTCATCAAAATTGTCAACATTTAACCAGATTTCATTTATTCTCATTACATCAGAATCTTCCATTCTGACTGCTGTTCTAAAGTCATCTATCTTATTTATTATACTTCAAGCATTACAATGATAACAGTTTAGCCTATCATTAGAACTACTTCTTTACTTTGTTTCTACACTATACTTTTCTCTATATCTTTTTTTCTTCATTATTCAGGCCCTCACCACTGTCTCATCTTAGTTTAAACCGGCCCTTACAGTTGACTTAATAGCCCTTGCAAAAAAAAAAGAAAGCCATCTCCTACCCTATTTAAATGTAAACAATTCATTCCAAAAAGCTTCCATTTCCTATTGAACTGATCCCACAAATACAACCTGCTAACCTGCTTGTCCTTATTCTCAAGCCTACCCTCAACCCTAGTGCCCTATTTATTATTTCATTCCCACAGTTAAGTTATGTAATCTGTTCTTGAAATCTACTCTCACAAATTTGTTAAATTTTCAGTTTTTTATAAGTTGACAAGCTTTATGTTATTTTTACCATTGTTCACCACTCTTTCTTATCATATTGCATTTTAACCCTAGGAATTGAAAGGAGTTTAGACTTTAAAATGGTGTGTGATTTTTTATTTTTATTTCAGTTGCTACCAGAAAATGTAGTGGACCCTATGGAGTTGTTGTCCTATCTTGACCCCCCTGGGCTTAGTGGAAACGTAAGTACAACAACAGGAACCACAACAGCAGCTAACAGCAACACTACAATGTCCACCTCAAATAGCACAAGTGATGATATTCTGGCATTTTTTGATTCCTAGGCATGTTGTCAGAAGTGTTGCAAACTCTTTCTTTTGATTTTCATGTATGTTGGAAGTTAAAGAAAAAAAAATCTATATAAGGACATCATATACACATGAGCTCGAAGTACATCCTTTTATGATATGGGGATTGGAATTATTAGCAGTATTTACATTAAAAAAAGAGCCAGTGTTTAAATGAACAAGGATGACCAAACATCTGAGACTGAGTTCCTAATGGTACTATTGAACTCCAGTAGACTTGCTGGTTAGAGCTCGTGTTGTTGATCTTCAGGTCTACATCTTTTCTTAAATTGTGTTTCTGAACAGTGCAGAACACAAGAAGGGAAATACTGTAATCAGGACGGAATAAGCAAAAACTTTGATAGACAGATTTGTGATTATTGTGTGTGTGTGAATTTCTAACCTAAAAGATTTTATAAAACAAAGTGTTATGCAAAGTTAAAGATATGCAGAAGTTGTAAAAGAAGAGGGTTTTATGTAAAGGAGAGGTTGTTGTGTAAAAAAAAAGAAGCAAAAAAATGGGTACTTATTAAAAGAAATTTCTTTTTGTGTAATGAGAAATGTGTGTTATGTAAATGTGGATGAGGCTTTTAACAGGTTCAAGACAACTGCTTTGTATTATACGTATATGTATGTGTATGTATAAAGATATACATACAAAAATGTATGTATACATGTTTGTATATGTATAAAAACTTGCACATACGTATAACTTATCACAGTGTCATGTATTGTGGTACTTGTTTTTCTGTTTCTGGCTGTCTATTTATTCATTGTATATCTGTGTGAGAAAGTTTCAAAATTAATCAGCAACATTGTTCATGCAATCTCAAGTATGCATTTCATGTTTATTGTATTTGTTCTTGCATCTGTTGCATTAATTTGTTATAATCCACTGTACTGCTGCATAATTTAGGCCAAAGAGAACTTGAAGCAAGGTCAATCTTCACTTCCAGTTGTCCATTAACTTCATTCATTGTTAATGTTGCATATGTCTCACTCTTAATGAATGTTTACTCTAAAAATGGCAAGAGTGAAAAGTGCAATTCCATATGACCTTTTTTGCTTTATATATATAATTTTGTAAGGTCAAAACTGTCCAATTGATTTTTGACCCTCTTAATTTTCACATTTCAAATTACAATGACTCAAGATAAGCAGGCCTGATGTGAAAAGGAAAAATCATTTTGTTGTGACAAGTTTATAATTGCCATGCCAGACAAAATGTATATAGTGTAGGAAATTCTGTATAGATTCACCTTGTTCATAATTTTACCATTCTATTTTCTATCTCAGTGTTCATAACTTTTCCCTTCTTATTTGCTTTAGTCAGTATGATTGTGCTGATTTGCTCAATCCATTTTATACAACTTTATTTAACATTTTTGTAAGCTTCACTGTTATTATCTTGAATTTAACATATTATTCTATGGCTCTAAAATCATAACCAGACTAATTCAAAATATATATAATATTTTGATTTGTAAAGTCTGTATATTTTTTGCAGTACAGTCTATTTTGTATTAAGTTTGAAATGTTTTCGCACAACATTAGAAGCTGTTTTTCTATGAACCTAAGTGGAAACAATTTATTTAAGAATCAATTTATAATCATGAGGTATGCAGCTTCTCACACCTATATCGAACCATCTATTTTATTTTTTATTGTTCTTTCCTGCTTGTGTAGATATGCATATTTATACAATAAAGATTTTATGTTACAACAAACCTGACTTAACCTAGAATTTTTAAGCATTATTTTCATTGCTAGCCGATTACTTGCCCCTAAGCTACTTAGACAAATAGTTAACTAGACTTGATATAGAATGAATAAACTATAGTCAAAAGTACTTTACTGCAGATCTACATTAACTTTACATGCCTTTATTTTAACAAATTCATTGGTAAAATAATCATCTGTGGTTTCTGAAACCATCTGTTTTCACTCAACAGAATTGCTAAAGTTAGTTTCAGCAATCAATGTGTGTAGAGACAATATAGTTGCATTCTACTTATTAAATGGAACCACTTACATTAATTACAAAATAAGAGTGAATAAAATAGTTTTTTTTTTTGTTTGTTTGTTTTTTTCTATGAAGACACATTATGGCTGTTAGATATACACACCTGTTTCATTTAAGTTTAATAAGAGAGTATGATTTAGTTTATATTGTGTGAGCGTTAAAATAAACTACATCTAGAAGCATAGTTATGGCTATTTTGCTTATGTAACTGTTTATGAATCAATGGTTGCATGGTTCAATTGTTGTGAATTAATGCCAAGTTACTCGAACCTTCAGAATTTCGTGACTATTGTTATATCATAATGTCTCGTAACTTGTAGAAAGTTCTAGGCAATATATATATATACATAAACGACCAAGCTAGTGCAAGTAAATTAGTGAAAGAAGACAAAGTTAATAAGAGATGTAGTCAAATAGATCTAGACTGTACAACTTTAACCATAAAGTGTGTATAGTGGCAACTTTTAAAGCATAATAATCGCAGATTGTATTGTAATAATAGAGTAGAGAAGAATAATTCGTCTTGTCAATTGAGTTCTAAAGTAACTGAACCAGCCTGTGTGGACTTTTGACATAAAATAGAATTAATTAAAGCTCTGGATACAATTATGGTAACCCACGGGGTAACCTTTGTGAATTTATCACTGATTGTATTGTGATAACAGAGTAGAGAAGAATAATTTGTCTTCTCAATTGTGTTCTAAAGTATCTGAACCAGCCTGTAAGGACTCCTGACGAAAAGAGACGACTATTTAAAGCTCTGGATACAACTATGGTGATTAACTGTGTAACAAACATTTGTATATACATTTGACTTGTTTTGAATATATTATTTTAAAACAAGTGAATTGTGTGCTGTCCATTTATTGTTAAAATTTATCGCCAACAAGTTACAGCCACCTACTGTAAAGAATCTTACCCACTCAAAACCTGACATTGGCGAGCCAGCCAGGATTATACAGTGGTAAATGGTGATAAAAGAAGACATGAACGATAGTGGAAGTAGGTTTATATACACATAACTGTAGTGGTGGCAAAAATAGTGTAGAGATTACAATCACGCTGTATAACCATGTCGACTTATTTTGATAAATGGATTGAAAGAGTTGGGTGACTTGGGGTCAAAAATAGCGACCTACGAGAGTTTGTTAAAGAACAACAAGACCTAGAGAGAGAAGTGAGAAAGAGACTGATAAGAGAGAAAGGAGGACTGAAAGAAGAAAACGAAATAAAAAGAGAGAGAATAAGAGCAAAAAATGAGATAGAAGAAAGGGGGAAAGAGGAGAGACTAGAAATAGAGAGGATAAGAGCAAAAATCGAGATAGAAGAAATGGGGAAAGAGGAGAGATTAGAAATAGAGAGAATAAGAGCACAAATTGAAATTGCCAAGCTCACCCACCAGAAAGAGGAAGGACCCAAGAGTAACAATGGGGTCAGAGCCATTCAACCCAAGCTGCTCAAATTTGATGAACAAAAAGACGACATGGATGCTTTCTTGGAGAGATATCAAAGATTTGCTCAAAGTCAGAACTGGGACAAAGGCAACTAGGCAGTCTGTCTCAGCCCATTTCTCATAGGAAAAGGCCTACAAGTGTATGCAGGCATGACGTCAGAAGATGCCATGGACTATGACAAGTTAAAATTAGCATTGCTGAAAGACCATGAAATTACCGAGAAAGGTTTTTCGTCGGAAATTCAGAGAAGTCAAACCTGACACTGTAGAAACTGTACTTCAGTTTGTGGCACATCCATGGTGATACTTCACAAAGTAGACTGATATGGCCAAGTGTGAAAACAGTTTTGAAGGACTGGCAGATCGACTAATATGTGAACAGTTCATGATCACGTGCTCAACTGACATGTCACTCTTCCTAAAAGAGAGAGCACCAAAAGACGTGGATAAGATGATCAGGCTGGCAGAACAGTATATAGAAGCCCATGGAGGGAATATAACTGGTAAGACTAAGAATAACTAGTTAAAGTCGAAACCAGGGGTGGTTGACCAGAAGCAGGATGCCATCAAAGGTGACAAGAGGTTAATAGACAAAAGGGAGAAGAGATGCTATGCTTGTTATAAGATGGTGCACATTACAAGTGAGATCTGTCACTAACAAGCAGCCACAGAAATTTTAACATAAAGCATCTGGAGCTACCTACAGAGATAGTCCTGTCAAGAAACAAGAAAAAAGTTACTGTCACCACGAATGCCACTGCCAGAAGAAACAAAATGGAGACCACTCACCAGAATCACCACAAGAAGGAAGTGCTACCACCATGATTAAATAATGTATGATTGATAGTCAGCTGAAAGCTATATCAGAGACAAGAAAGTGAAATTCCTTTGAGACACTTGGTGCAGCAGTGAGAATAATTAGTTTAATATCTAATGACCAGATGACAGGCAAGGTACATCTGTTTGCTGATTGATTGGATAGTGAGAAAGTTTACCATAACAAGAATAAAGGTGGCACTTCATACTACGTTGGAGACCTTGATGCCATTTGTATGAAGGCACCCATCTATAACTTGGTGATTGGAAACATACCAGGCAGTAGAAGTTTGGAGGAACCAGACAGAAAGAAGACTGCATCTACAGTCACCACAAGAGCTCAAGAAAAGAAGAGCAAACAAGACATCAAGCCCCTTCAAGTCTCGAAAAGTGACATCCTAAATGTAGGTCTACAGGAACTGAAGGAAGCACAGAAGAAAGACCCTTCACTTTGGGAAGAAACTTTGTGATAGTGCCAGGGAGAAAGTGAAGCACAAGTCCAAGGGGAATAGGACTTACAGAATAGAGTATCAAAAGGCAGTGCTGTACTGGATCTATCAAAACAGTTCTACTAGGGAAGTTAAACAGATCATAGTGCCAACAGAATATCGGACTTAATTGATGAAGGTGGCTCACAAGTCAATTGTGGGAGGAGCGAAGAAGACACCAGACAGAATCACCAGCAACTTCCATTGACCGGGGGTCATTGAAGATTTGACCAGATTCTGCAGGTCACGTGACATCTGCCAAAGAATAGTACCTAGAGAGAAGGTAGCCAAGGTGACACTGAGTGAGATGCCTCTCATAGAAGAGCCATTCATCAGAGTAGCTGTGGACTTGATTGGACCACTAGCAACTGGTATGTGTTGACAGTAGTCGACTATATGACATGTTACCCAGAAGCAATAACATTGCCAAATATAGAGATGGAGAGAGTAGCAAAAGCCCTCCTGGAAGTGTTCTTCAGAGCAGGCTTCCCAAAAGAAGTCTTGAGTGACAGAGGGATCCAGTTTACTTCAGAACTGATGCAAGAGGTGTGTAGACTCATCAGAACTAGGCAGCTCTTTACCATCCCATAAAACCTCGGATGGAATGGACTTTGTGAGAGAGTTAATGGAGTAATAAAGAGCATGCTACAGAAAATGTGCCAAGAAAGACCACATGATTGGAACAGGTAACCACAGGCAGTATTGTTTGTTTACCGATAAGTCCCAAAAGCAAGTACAGTATTTTCACCCTTCGAGTTGCTATACAGAAGAACAGTACGTGGTCTGATGCAAACATTGAAAAAGCTGTGGACAGGAGAAGTGAGGAACACATACCAGTACGTGTTAGACCTCAGAAACTGACATGATGTGAAAGGCATGGGATGTGTAGACATTTTCAATAATCTTAGTTACAGAAGAAAAAGAAACTGTTGATATTTTAAATTGTTTTAGCTAGTGCTGATGAAAAGCACAAGTTGGTGCTATGCCTATGCAAGGTAGATGCTACGTCTTTCAGGCATCTAAAATGAATTATTTCAAGTGTAAGTTACTTTGGCTATTTTAATAAATAATGCTTAGAGCAAGTCATTGCATAAAAAGTCACCCAGTTAAAAAATTAAAATTATTTTAACAGGCGCCCATTCTGTCTTTTCAAATCTTAAACTTGTATCATCTGATTCTATTATTTTCAAGATACGGCAGAAAGAAAGAAATAAAAAATATATTACGAAAGGCTTAATATTACAAGACACCAGAATAATAATTAATTATTTTAGAAGAGTGAAAGAAAAGCGAAATATCATGCTAAGTCTTAATACTAACTACGTTTCCTTATTTTTCTGAAAATTCAGTGATGAGAAACATTTATCAGAACAAAGGTTTTCATGTCAAAAGCTGGATATTTGTCCGTAGTTAAGGTCAACAAATTTGGATTTAGGTGTTTCTGTTTTTATTTTGTCTTCAGCATTTTCAGGATTTTTTACAAAAGCTGGTTCTATTGCGCAAGAGCAAGAAAAATGTTAATGCATGGGGTACAATTAAACAATTAGATAGATATACAAATGTATCAGACTTACTAGAGAATTTTGGCTTCAATTCCATACAAGGAAGATACATCATTTAGTTTTATCGTTTGTCGTCTCATGATTGTATGTTCCAACATATATTTGGTTTTGAAAGGTTTTTATTTCCAGTTAACAATAAACAAATGAAAATGTTGAAGGAAGCACAATAAATTCTTATTATGGTTCTTTATTTTCAAAATATATATTTTTGTTACTGCTATTTTGTCATCTTACCTCACTGCTCACAAATAATATTACAATTAATAAAGTCTAGTCTCAATTTATGAATTTTCTCGACATGTTGTAGATTAATTTCAATGACTCTAATATTGGATACTTAACTTTCTTATATTTCTTTTATACTCACAAACCAAACATGCTTGCGATTTCTATTGTAGAATGTCTTTTTGTTTTGTTCTGTAGTACAGTGATTACGTACTGTACTGTAAATATAAGGTTCCATAGTT